ATTCTGGCTTGTACGATTTTTTTGTATTTTTCATTACTTTTACTCAATAATATCGCCTAAAAGTAGGTTCTTCGTAGTTTTTTCAAATTATTTCTGCATATATGATTTTATTATTACTTTTTAACGTGTCTGCCGTTTCAATTTATTTTCTATCTATTTTATTCTGGCTTGTACGATTTTTTTGTATTTTTCATTACTTTTACTCAATAATATCGCCAAAAACCAAGTTCTTCGTAGTTTTTTCAAATTCTTTCTGCATATATGATTTTATTATTACTTTTTAACGTATATGCCGTTTAAAATTATTTTCTATCTATTTTATTCTGGCTTGTACGATTTTTTTGTATTTTTCATTACTTTTACTCAATAATATCGCCTAAAACCAGGTTCTTCGTAGTTTTTTCAAATTCTTTCTGCCTATATGATTTTATTATTACTTTTTAACGTATATGCCGTTTCAATTTATTTTCTATCTATTTTATTCTGGCTTGTACGATTTTTTTGTATTTTTCATTACTTTTACTCAATAATATCGCCTAAAACCAGGTTCTTCGTAGTTTTTTTAAATTCTTTCTGCATATATGATTTTATTATTACTTTTTAACGTATATGCCGTTTAAAATTATTTTCTATCTATTTTATTCTGGCTTGTACGATTTTTTGTATTTTTCATTACTTTTACTCAATAATATCGCCAAAAACCAGGTTCTTCGTAGTTTTTTCAAATTCTTTCTGCATATATGATTTTATTATTACTTTTTAATGTATATGCCGTTTAAAATTATTTTCTATCTATTTTATTCTGGCTTGTACGATTTTTTTTTTTATTTTTCATTACTTTTACTCAATAATATCGCCTAAAACCAGGTTCTTCGTAGTTTTTTCAAATTCTTTCTGCATATATGATTTTATTATTACTTTTTAACGTATATGCCGTTTAAAATTATTTTCTATCTATTTTATTCTGGCTTGTACGATTTTTTTGTATTTTTCATTACTTTTACTCAATAATATCGCCAAAAACCAGGTTCTTCGTAGTTTTTTCAAATTCTTTCTGCATATATGATTTTATTATTACTTTTTAACGTATATGCCGTTTAAAATTATTTTCTATCTATTTTATTCTGGCTTGTACGATTTTTTTGTATTTTTCATTACTTTTACTCAATAATATCGCCTAAAACCAGGTTCTTCGTAGATTTTTCAAATTCTTTCTGCATATATGATTTTATTATTACTTTTTAACGTATATGCCGTTTAAAATTATTTTCTATCTATTTTATTCTGGCTTGTACGATTTTTTTGTATTTTTCATTACTTTTACTCAATAATATCGCCTAAAACCAGGTTCTTCGTAGTTTTTTCAAATTCTTTCTGCATATATGATTTTATTATTACTTTTTAACGTATATGCCGTTTCAAATTATTTTCTATCTATTTTATTCTGGCTTGTACGATTTTTTTGTATTTTTCATTACTTTTACTCAATAATATCGCCAAAAACCAAGTTCTTCGTAGTTTTTTCAAATTCTTTCTGCATATATGATTTTATTATTACTTTTTAACGTATATGCCGTTTAAAATTATTTTCTATCTATTTTATTCTGGCTTGTACGATTTTTTTGTATTTTTCATTACTTTTACTCAATAATATCGCCTAAAACCAGGTTCTTCGTAGTTTTTTCAAATTCTTTCTGCATATATGATTTTATTATTACTTTTTAACGTATATGCCGTTTCAATTTATTTTCTATCTATTTTATTCTGGCTTGTACGATTTTTTTGTATTTTTCATTACTTTTACTCAATAATATCGCCTAAAACCAGGTTTTTCGTAGTTTTTTCAAATTCTTTCTGCATATATGATTTTATTAATACATTTTAACGTGTCTGCCGTTTGAAATTATTTTCAATCTATTTTATTCTGGCTTGTACGATTTTTTTGTATTTTTCATTACTTTTACTCAATAATATCGCATAAAACCAGGTTTTTCGTAGTTTTTTCAAATTCTTTCTGCATATATGATTTTATTAATACTTTTTAACGTGTCTGCCGTTTGAAATTATTTTCTATCTATTTTATTCTGGCTTGTACGATTTTTTTGTATTTTTCATTACTTTTACTCAATAATATCGCCTAAAACTAGGTTCTTCGTAGTTTTTTCAAATTCTTTCTGCATATATGATTTTATTATTACTTTTTAACGTGTCTGCCGTTTGAAATTATTTTCTATCTATTTTATTCTGGCTTGTACGATTTTTTTGTATTTTTCATTACTTTTACTCAATAATATCGCCTAAAACCAGGTTTTTCGTAGTTTTTTCAAATTCTTTCAGCATATATGATTTTATTATTACTTTTTAACGTGTCTGCCGTTTGAAATTATGTTCTATCTATTTTATTCTGGCTTGTACGATTTTTTTGTATTTTTCATTACTTTTACTCAATAATATCGCCTAAAACCAGGTTTTTCGTAGTTTTTTCAAATTCTTTCTGCATATATGATTTTATTAATACTTTTTAACGTGTCTGCCGTTTGAAATTATTTTCTATCTATTTTATTCTGGCTTGTACGATTTTTTTGTATTTTTCATTACTTTTACTCAATAATATCGCCTAAAAGTAGGTTCTTCGTAGTTTTTTCAAATTATTTCTGCATATATGATTTTATTATTACTTTTTAACGTGTCTGCCGTTTCAATTTATTTTCTATCTATTTTATTCTGGCTTGTACGATTTTTTTGTATTTTTCATTACTTTTACTCAATAATATCGCCTAAAACCAGGTTCTTCGTAGTTTTTTCAAATTCTTTCTGCATATATGATTTTATTATTACTTTTTAACGTATATGCCGTTTAAAATTATTTTCTATCTATTTTATTCTGGCTTGTACGATTTTTTTGTATTTTTCATTACTTTTACTCAATAATATCGCCTAAAACCAGGTTCTTCGTAGTTTTTTCAAATTCTTTCTGCATATATGATTTTATTATTACTTTTTAACGTATATGCCGTTTCAATTTATTTTCTATCTATTTTATTCTGGCTTGTACGATTTTTTTGTATTTTTCATTACTTTTACTCAATAATATCGCCAAAAACCAAGTTCTTCGTAGTTTTTTCAAATTCTTTCTGCATATATGATTTTATTATTACTTTTTAACGTATATGCCGTTTAAAATTATTTTCTATCTATTTTATTCTGGCTTGTACGATTTTTTTGTATTTTTCATTACTTTTACTCAATAATATCGCCTAAAACCAGGTTCTTCGTAGTTTTTTCAAATTCTTTCTGCATATATGATTTTATTATTACTTTTTAACGTATATGCCGTTTCAATTTATTTTCTATCTATTTTATTCTGGCTTGTACGATTTTTTTGTATTTTTCATTACTTTTACTCAATAATATCGCCTAAAACCAGGTTCTTCGTAGTTTTTTTAAATTCTTTCTGCATATATGATTTTATTATTACTTTTTAACGTATATGCCGTTTAAAATTATTTTCTATCTATTTTATTCTGGCTTGTACGATTTTTTGTATTTTTCATTACTTTTACTCAATAATATCGCCAAAAACCAGGTTCTTCGTAGTTTTTTCAAATTCTTTCTGCATATATGATTTTATTATTACTTTTTAATGTATATGCCGTTTAAAATTATTTTCTATCTATTTTATTCTGGCTTGTACGATTTTTTTGTATTTTTCATTACTTTTACTCAATAATATCGCCTAAAACCAGGTTCTTTGTAGT